TCCAGAGCACAAGTTCCATGACAAGTGGCTGAGGGACCTGGGGTTGTTTAGCCTGAAGAAAGGGAGGCTCAAAGGAGACCTTTTTCTCTACAATTTCCTGAAAGGAGGGTGTAGCCAGGTAAGGGTTTGTGTCTTCTCCCAGGCAACCAGCAACAGAACAGAAGTGCACAGTCTGAAGCTGCACCAGGGGATATTTAGGTTGGACGTTAGGAAGAAGTTCTTCACAGAAGGGGTGATTGGTCATCTGAATGGGCTTCTCCAGGGAGGTGTTGGAGTCACTGTCCCTGGAGGTGCCTAAGAAAAGACTGGATGTGGCCATGGTCTAGTTGACAGGGTGGAATTTGGTCATAGGTTGGACTCGATGATCTCAAAGTTCTTTTCCAAACTAATTCTGTGATTCCATGATTCTGTGGTTCTGTGGTTCTTTGTGTATGTGATTCTTGTTTAAGTTTTCTGTCCTCTTGAAAGTTAAGGTGCTCCTTATCTTCATTTTCTGCTGGAGAAAAATGTAAAGAAAAATACTTTTCAGTGTTTTGAATAATGAAAGTTATTAGTATGCTTTTCTAAGAGAAATGTGTTGATAGGTAGATTCCATCAATAAAGATCCTATTCTGTGAACCCAAATCTCCATCCATGAAGCCTTCTTCATCCATGAAGGGCAAAGATGAATGATGGCTTCATTACTCTTCCATTACTCTTTGTAATTGCATTACCTGATATACATCTGTCTCAGGGACATGAAATACCTCTGCATGGTGATTTTCAAAACTGAATACAAATGTTATTCTAGATTAAATGAAGTGATTTAAAATGTTGTTTATAGTTCTTTCCTAATGTTTAATATTTATGATCTCTAAGGTTGCATAGAAAGAAGTCTTTGCTTTGAGTTTAACTAAAAATGGGACAGACATTTCTTAAAATTCCTTTTAATCAAGCAGAAGGTAGTTCACCTGCATTTGATGAAGTTACAGCATGACAAATGCAATTGTGTGATTACATATGGGATGGGAGATTATTTTTAGTGGTATAAACCATCCTGCTTAGAAAAGGATGACATATGCACATGTATGTGTGGTTCCGCTTCCTAATTTTCTTTCCTAAATATTCTAAATATTTTAGAATATTTATTTTTTTTCTAAATATTTAAGTATGCTTGATTGAAATGCTGCACATGACCTAAAGGCATCCAGTAGAGATCATTATGCTGATGCAGAAGGAAATAGAATAAGAACAATAAAGCTTAAGTTGTCATGTTGCGTGCAAGCTGTCTTATCCTAAATTTATTTTTAGTCAATTTGGCAAATATGTATTGCTGTATTTGTACTGTCCTGTACAGTTGCTTGTGGTTTCTCTGCATATTTAAAACAAATACTTATAATTACAGGTAGTTACAAGCATTGCTTTGCAATGCTTGTGTTCTGGCTTTTCTGTAGGGTTGTTTTGTGCAAATATAAGTTATTAGTGTCTGTATGGATTTGGATCTAAGAATCACATAACAGCTTTGAAAGTAATGTGGAAAATGCAATAATCATATGTCCTTGATAGCTTTAACTGCTTTTTTTATTAGCCGACCTATACAGAGTCTTATAATGCTATTATTTTATAATATTACTTTAAAGAATATAGTGGTTTAGACAGAATTTCAGAAATATTTCCATTCATTGCAGAGATACATTCCATCTACTTGAAGACCAAGATAAACACAGTGGGTTTTGTTATTTTATATCTGTGTTTTATTTTAAGAATGTCTATGGCTATCCTCGGACCAGCTGGAGTGGCAAAAATGAAATAAATGAATAGGGACATGTTTGACTGAGAAAGCCCAGAAAGCAACTTTGATAAGGGTGCAGACAAAAGAACATAATCCAAACAGCAGTATAGGGCAACCTCAAAAGACCCCAAAATGGGGGAAATATAACAATATGTAGAACACTGATAACCAATCGTCAACAGGAACTCAGAACATAACTTTATATGTGAAACGATAATAACCAATCACCAGTGAGAACCAAGAACATTAATTTATATGGCTTAATGCATTAACATAACATAAACATAATCCCTCCTATCATCCCATCCTCCTCACCATGACCTAACCAGATATTTCCCATGGCCTTAGATTAATGGCCACTTCACAGTTGGCCAAGGCCAACTCATTGTCAGTCCTGTCAATTCAACTCCCACACAGCATGATCAGTGAAACTTTCATTTCAGCAGCTGCTACAAGAACATGATAGTTTGAAAAAACAACTATTTTGGAGAAACTTTCACATAGAGGTACAATGCTTGTATTTATGTAATTGTTCTTGGCAGCAGCTTCAGTAAATCTGAGTTGAAGTTCATCCATAAAATGAACTGACTTTCTCAATCCACTTGAACCTTGATCTGTTTTGGTGTAATGTTCTGGGGTTGGTGAAGAAGCTTTACAGTTGGGGTCTGTAACCCCAAATGAAATTACATCACCTTCTGATTCAGAATTTCCTGCTGTTGCAATTTGTGTTGTTCCACAGAAATGAGGAGTAATTCCCTCTCAGACACTGTTGAGATTACACCCAGGGAACAGCCTTAGTGATGTGTTCTTTCACTGCTAAAGACAAGGCATCCTGTTGGAAACTTGGTTCTCTCTCAATGAGTTTACAAACTTGTTTTAAATAATTCACTTCATCTTGAAGCTCTGTTTCCCAGGAGACAAAATAGTTATTTTCTTAAAACCAGTTTTTATTTTAAGAACAAAGAAACCACGTGGTGATTTTGAAGCTGTGGAATAGACATCCTTTGTACCACAGACAATTGGGATTTCACTCAGAGCCTTTTCTGTTCTTTTTAAAAAATTATTATTATTTGTGGATCCCTTATGGAGTGGACTGTATTGAGTCTGCATCAGTTAGCTGCAAAGTGTGGTGGTGTTTGAGCTCTCTCCTGCATATGCAGGCTGCAATGGGGCTGCACGTTCAGGAATGAACACAGAGCAGATTTCATTCATGCATAGTCCTCCCTTAGAAGAAAGCAAAAATAGCAGCCACAGTGAGCATTTCTCTTCTCTGCTCGTTTCAGAAACATTTCTACCTCCAAAGCTGGCATTGCTTTTCTCAGATGATCTGGTTTCAAGCTGTGCTGCTATTAAGTACTTCTACTTAATAGTCAGGTTGGTGTCCCTGGAAAACGTGACGTTTGCAATCTTTTGTGTTGGCCCTTCAAGGATCATGACATTCAATTGCAAAAATCTCAGGAATATACCTGAGAAATTCTGAGGCTTTTAAAGAGGGTCCATCCATACACGTGTAATGACTTTTGAAGGAGGGGAGGTTTTGGAATAAAGATTGAAGCATGTCTATTTTCTACCAAGAAAATGAGTCTGTGCTGGAAAGCAAACACATATTAAGACTGGGAAACCAGAAAAGAGAGTTGAGATGTGAGATGGAAAGAGTAAGCTGCTCTTCAGATTTTGATCACAAGCTTTTTCTGCTTCTGAGGCATGACTGTTCTGTTTTTTCTAACACACACATTTACAAAGATGTCACAGTGTATTTTCTAAATTTAAAGAGGTTCGGTGGATTCTGATTGGACCCATGGCAGTTCAATGGGGATGATGAGTACTTTCTCATGGCCTTTGTTTAATACTATGGGTATTTCAGTTATGTTACCTGAGTTTGTGTTTGGTTAGATAAAAAATCACTGTTACATGATGAGTACTTGATACTTTTTTCTCTTGCCATGATAGTCCAATAATTTTAATAACCAGAGAAAGCAGATTTATATGACATGAAGAAGAAAATAAAGATCTTCATGTTTGGGCTCCAAGTTATTTCTTTGCAAGGTTCACTGGATGCTTCACAGCATAGATTCTTGGCCTCCAGGAGTCATAGCAGGAAAAACACATGATGTTCTCGTTTTCAGTGCTAAACTAGTTGTCCAGTGATGAATGGTAGATGAGATAATATGCCAGATCTTCACCCCTTAGGGAGAAGAAGGTGGCAGAAAGAATTAATATTTTTTACATTTTTCTGGATTCCGCAGCTCTGAGGCTTGTTTGGCATCAGCTAAACAGCGAGTGGGAAACATCCCTTTGTGTATGGCTGGTTCTGAGCAGAACACTGGTGGATGCTCCAGGGTCTCCTTCTGTTTTTCCTTAGTGCTGAGCTGTCATAGGTTGAACGCATCCCACTCTTGGTTTTGTGCTGTTGCGCCATTATACCACAACCTGCTTGGCTCAGAGGTTTTGTCTCTCCTTCACCTTTCCATTGTAATCATAGATCCATAAACCCTTCAGCTCAAGGCCCAGTTGGGGAACTTTCACACTTGTGGTATCTGTCTGATGCTGCTTGTCAACATTTGAAGGGTTCAGGTCTGAAAGTGGATGTTTCTGGAGATGCCCATACTACTATTCTCTACTGTAGTTACAAAACCTTCTTTGCAGAAAACACATTTGGGACTTGCTACCATCTTTTAAAGTATCCTTATGACTAATGGAACTATAAAATATCTTGTCATTGCTGGAGCACATAGGGGATCTGGTAATAAATTAGAGGTCCTCTGTGACAAGTACCATAGATACATAATAAAACAAAAACCTCTGGGAATGCTTCACTATAAGTTCATATTTTTTTTTCCCTTATGCACCCAAAAATAGGATTAATCAAATTCCATGCCTAAGGGCTTAAACAGATGGAATATGAAAGAAAATTTCACCAGTCAGCACTGTAGTAGTCCTGCATCTCTGGAAAGTATGCATTTTTGTAATGTATGAGATAAAACCTTTCATTTAAATATTTCTCACAGCTTATCTAGTTTCACTTAGGCAGTGGTTTAAAGTAGTAGAATCCCAGATTAATATTCAGAAACTAGAGAACAATGTTCAATTTTATTTGAAATATTTCTTTCCTTCCTTTCTAAACTAAAATGCCAACTTTGTGACAAAATCATTAAAATGCTTAAATGCTAAACAGAATTTTCTGATTCAGTTTTCATGTAGATATGTTTTCTCATAACTGCTTTTCCAGGTTGTATTGGTCAGTGGACATCTGGACAGCTGGGACGTTGGGCAGGGAGCTATGGATGATGGTGGTGGAGCATTTATATCGTGGGAAGCATTATCACTCATTAAGGATCTGGGTAAATATTTAACTTTAAGATATTTTTAATGCATTACATTTCCAGGTCATTTTGTTTGATGTCTAAACTGGATTTTATATTTTATCCATGTCTCTGAGCACAAGTATTCATTTTGTCACTTTACCCCTCAAAACTAGTTCAAAACAGACTTTTTAGATTGTTGACTTGATATCCAAGGATGCTTTTCCCCCTTCAGCAGATGGAATCTGTTTTTCCTCCTTATTCCCTTCTTCCACGAATATAACCTGTGGTCAAGAAGAATGCTCAATGTATTCATTACAAAATAAAATCAGCTGCTGCTCCTGCTCTTATCCCTGGCAGCATTTAAACAATAAACTAGCTTTCCCTGCTTCCCGGTGGAAGGATTTGTGCACTTCAACAATCTCAGTCTTTCTTGAAGAGCTCTTTGTAGACAGGCTCTGTTATGTGATTAGCTGCTTGCATACTACAGTTGTGAACATCAGACATCCCTGTGAGTTCCTATTCCTTTATTTTGCATTGTTTGAACCTCTAGTCTCTCATCTTCCCAGCCTTGGAATGATTGGATTATCAATCTGTAACTAAAACAAAGTGCATCTGTTTAAATTTTTGGTCTTTTAAACTAAATAGGATTCTTCTGCAAAGAATCCAAGTGTACTCCTTCTGTTAGTGGTTTTTAATATTTTTTTTTTTATGATGCTTGGAAAATTGACTGTGTTTCCTTCCCCTTCAAGGAAAAGAAAGTTACTCTGCTGTGTTTGGTACTCTATTGCATTCAGAATAAGTTGTCTGTTTCTTAAGTGCAAGTTCATGGTGGCATTGTATAATTCTTATTCACTGGGTTTCCCTTCACACATGACTGAAATGTATCACTTTCTTGTTTAAATATTTGATTTCCTCTGGTAGTAGCCTGTGTGTTTTCTGTGCAACCTGTGGTGGAATGCTGTTCTCTCAGCTGGGAAATGCTGGAGCCTTTGCTGGTGCCCTCTGTTCTGGGCAGCTGCTGTGTTCTGCTCTTCTTGTTGTACCCGTGTTCTGCAGGAACACAAGACTGGGAGGGGACTTCTGGCTCTTCATAGCTGTAGGACAGAAAAATAAAAACATGTGAAGCTTGTGTGAGAAACAAATTAATGCCTTTCATTTAAAATCAATTCCATAGATTGTTGTTTGAATTAACACTGTGTTTTGAACTGTGGAGACCTTGTTTGATATCCTTTTGGACGCTGATAAATTTAGTCTCACACTAGTACACCAAAAACATTTGAAATAAAGATAAACCAACTCAGTTGTCTCTATGCATGTGTAGAATTTTTTCACTGTATACAGGGAGTCTTAAAGTCATGGTGTATTGTGTAGCAATAAAAACTGTGTCTGCATTTACCAGAGTATAACTGATCTTACAGCTGTGGTGATATGATCCTCAAGCAGAAATGAGCATTCTGAAATATGATTTCTAGAAGATGAATTTATATTGTGTAGTAAAAAATAACACCAGTACTTCTGCCATGGTCCTTTGGGTTAATGAAAGCAAAATCCTATTAGACTATTAAAGCAGGTTTTTCAGTGATGGTCTAATAGCATTTCATCATGATATCACTGTGACCCTTGGACATGGCTTATGGACAAGACACAAATTATGCCTGTTAATTTGGATTCTGAAAATTTCATGTAATATTATAAAAATATTGTAGTGTAATTGCAATTCCATAGTTTCAACACAGCTTCCTCCCAAAACCACTTAATAGCTATTGGCTTAGGACCAAATACATTAAATTAATTGAAAAACCATTAAAATTATGCAATTTTTATTTTAAGCAATACAGTTTGTTTTCTTGCCTCAAGTAAAATTTTTAATAATTCTTGCTTTTATTTCTAAGTAAATCAGTTACTTAATGTATTGGCCTTTATACATCCTCATATTTCCTCAATCTTCAGTGTTAGCTTTTATTTTTTTTTAATTGAGGTGGCAATTTCTATGCCATATTGGTATATTTTTTGTTTGTTTGTTTTGTTTTGCTTTTGGGTTTTTTAGCTTTTCAGACACCATAATAGTTACATGCTCCCTACAAGGACATACACCAATCCAGCCAAATCTGAAATAGTTTTACATAATCTTCAAAACTTCAAACATTTAGTAGCATTTTTTTTTTCCATTTCCATTTTGAATTCACATTAATGTTGTTTCTTTGTGAGGGAAAGTCAACTACATGAAAGTCAGACTGAACTGAAACTATTTTGCCTTATATTAGCAGAGAATGGAATAAAAGTATTTTATTGATGTAAAATCCCATGTATACATTTCAGAAGAGTAGTACCTTAAAAGCATAGGGCCAGTTGTGATCTGCTTTAGTTTCTGAACACTGTTTAAAGTTATAACCATTCAGGTAGCTCTGGAAAGCAGAAGACCTAACAAGTGGAAACTTTCAGTCTGTCTGAATACTTTGCTTCTAATAGCTGTAATATCTCTCTGCTCATCTTCCACAGTGGGATGATGGGAAGGGGGTACCTGCTGGTGGTGCCATTCCCTCTCATCCTTCTTCAGGGAGAAAGTACAGGCAGCAAATTCAGAGCAAATGTCAACTTCTAGATGGTAACATTTCAACAAGGTGAATCTTTCTATGTTTTCTGTGCAGCTGCAGTTTCACTCTCAAAACATCCCCTTCAGTAACTTATAGTTAAATGTCAGTACCAGCTTGTGCACCTGTTGGTGCCATGCTGGCTGTAGATATCTCCTGACCAGAGTAAAAAGAAGCATTTTGCCTAGTGCATTCATATCAAGTTCTCTGTATCAACTAAACTCTCACAGCTGCTTGTTTTGCTGGTAGCTAAAATCTCAGAAAAATTCACTAACTAATGGCCATACTGACTATTGGTGTTCAAAGGGGTCTTTTCTCGCTGTTAGTAATGAAGTTTAATGAAGCACAAGGGAAAGAAAAACATGAATTAAATTCTTGAAGTTTACACGTACCATTGATACACAATATCTGTGGCAAGCTGCTTCATGGCTGATGTGCTTAAAAAAGCAAGAACTGGAAATGTTTCCACAGAAGTTGTTTATTTGAAGAAACATGAACATTTCAGCTGGTTGTTATTCCTTATTCTTTTTACTGGGAATAAAGATGTTTTTAGAGTTGCTGAGGCAGTTTATGAACTGGTCTGAACTGGTGAACTCCCTTTCTTCAGGGAAGCCAAGGCTGTTGTGATTAGCTGAGGATTTCTGATGCTAATGATTTCTGATGAACCTTCTACACTCGCAGGCAGAGCGTCCGTGGCAGTAAACTTGTGCAATATGTAGTTTGTCCACTGTGATATCTGGCAGCTGCTGCCCTGCCCAGCCCTCTGCAGGTTTTAATCTTTTGATCTATTTTAACTAATTTTGATGGAGGCATAAAAATATTTAGGATAGGAAGTTCTGATGTACTCTTCAAATGGGTGACTGGGGAGAGATGGGCAAGTGCATTTATTTCCCACCTGAGGAGAGGCAGGAAGAAGGCACTTTTATTCTTTTTTTAAAGATGGCAAATACCTGGTTACCAGAACATGTATAGCATTGTGGTAATCACCAGTCTTTTTCCTTTTAATCTGTCTGCAAACTCTGTGTGATTGATTGCAGATATCTCCATGGCAGTATTGAAAGCACTGTTTGGGGTAATTTAGGGATGATGGGAAGACACTGGAGGTGTTTTAGAGAGAAAGGGTTAACAGGTTCCCATCTTTCAGCTGAGGGAACCCATGGGGTGTTGAATGAGCTGTAATGTGGTGTGATGAGGACCTTTGGATTCTGTAGGAGAGAGAACACTCAAGCAAATTGCAGTTGTCCAGTTTTACAGAACAGCTATGTTGCTAGTCACAGCCTAGAAATCTCAAACCCAGCTTGTTTTCAGGTTGTTCTCAAATTTTGTTAGTTTGTTAGTTTATGTGCAAAAAAGAGCATCTCTGGAGCTGACCAATGCCATTTGCCTCAGCATTTTCATGTTGGTCCGGTTAGTGCTCTGCTGTCATTTGAAACACAGCTTCTCATGTCCCTCTGTCACACAAGATTTACAAAAGAAGCTGATTTTCCAGGTGAGATGAAAGACTAGCTAAGCAGCTACACATAGAACATCACCATAAAATCCCACAAAATTTATTTTGCTGCCATATTTTGTCTTTGGTTGGACAGTTTGCAGGGCTGGATCCTGCTTTGGATATTGTTTTTCAGTTTCTGTGAAGGAGATACTTGTGCTCCTTTCCCAACATTTCAAGCCTGCAGCTCTTCCTGTTTGGGAGTTGAGCACAAGGTGTTTTTTGCAGGGAGCAGCTAGTGTGTATCCAGTTGTTTCAGAGCTTTAGCCAGTGCTGCCTCTTGGCTCCTAATCCAGCTGTGCTCCCACACTGCTTGGCTGAGGGGCACTTCCCAGCTGAGGCCACAGGTGTTCTGCCCTCCTCCAGCCCTGCCAGAGCCACCTCACACTCTAGGGCTGGAAATGTGAGCCTTTCTTCCATAAAGGGAGCTTGAAGGAACTGAATAGTGATAATAATAGAGAAAGGTCTTTAGAAGGTGATTGCATAGCAGTGTCAGGTTTCCAAACATAGTATTTTAAATCTCCTAACAGCAGTAGGGAGCCTACTGGAGTTAGAAATCCAGTTGATTCTGATGGATGAATTTCAATGCTTTCTTCTGAAAAGCTTCAGAAATTATAGCTGTTATGTCTCTTTTTAATTAAAACATCTGGAATATTTCTTTTTCCTGTTGAGAATAGAAACTGATGGGGTATGTTATTTGACACTACTGTCTAGTTTATTTTCAGAGTCCCATCTCTGCTAGCACAGGAGGAATCAAACAGTTAGCAGGTTCTTTGTTCACATCCCAGGATTCTTTCAGCAGCATTTACCCACAAGCTCTCTTTCCTTGTTCAAGAAATGTGTTTTCTACCTTGTCCTGGCTGTATTTGGGTCTTGTTTCATTGCTAGCCAGCTCTTGGTGCCCTGCCAAGCCCAGAGGTGCATACCTATCCATGAGCTACTGCTCAATCCGGGGA